TTGGCACCTCCATTCATTTTCAAAGATCGTAAGAAAGAGAAAACAGACAACCTTTTTTTTAGCAGAATCTAAAAAGTATGCACATGTTTATGACAATGATAATTATATAAACACAACACATGCGATGATACAATATACGATAGAAATCATGGTAGAGTTCAAGGTTATTCTGACGTTTTACATAGAAGAGAAGCAGTGGTCAATAATGATGTATTTAGGATCTATTTCCAATATACGGTTCTTATTCTGTTTGCAATTAGATCGGAAAAAGCACTGAAATTCTATTTTTGTTTACCATACTGCGGAAATAATAAAAAAAATAGCAATTAGATACATAAATTATTTTAGTGTTAACTATATGTCTTTTTGTAAAAAAAAAGAAAAAAAAAAGATGAACCAATTCCTAAATACCAAATAGGAATCTTGTTGAGGCGTCGTCCAATTGAGGTATGAGACTTATATATTGCCTCGTGAGAGTTCCTTCGGCTTTTTTGTAATGCCTATGTTAAGTGTGTATATCATTAGATATAATCAATGTCATACGATAAAACAAGTTTGGTTCGATTAATTTATAGCCAGGTGGAGGTCAAATTCGTGTTTGGCTTTCAATGTTCTACAACTTTGTAGTTGATTTTGCTTTCCAACTGTTTGAATTAGAAAGCCGTTGACAAAGTGCATCACGCCTACTTAAATTATTAGCCTAGAATCTTTAAAGAATCTTTTCGTACTTGGTCAGTTATCATTACATACAGTGATGCCTTATACATTCAACTGCCTTGCGTACTATTGGTAGTTCTATGTGGTCATATGGTTGTAATCGCACTATCTAGGCCATAAATAAATAGCTGACCATGTAGAATGCTGGATAGTTTTATTAATGAAGTATCAAATGAAACGCTGCAATGTTATATCACATTTAATAACAACATATATAAACAAATTATTTCAAAACATGTATTATATCAATCTGATAAATTTACGTAATGTGTCTCCTTACAAAATTAATCAATTAACTATAAAATACGTCAACGTTTAGGAAATTACAAATGCACAATTAATTTAATCAAAATATTACTTCTTGTGAGGTTTGAAAAGAATTTAACTTGACAAAAAAGCAAACATAGAAATATAGTTTCTTATCTAGCAATAGCATTATGATATATGAATAAGCCGTTAAAACTAAGCAATTAAAGCATATAATGCATAAGTAAAGCCAACAGCGAAAAGCAGTTAACTAATAAAGCTAAACTAATCAAAGCAAAACTACTAAGCTAATAAAATAATAAGCAAATACAAATGAACACCCATTCTTACCTAGTTTGAGGTACATAGGTTATGGCTCAATGTATATCTAATTCATATGCAAAACTCTGTCATATTAGCTAAATAACAAATACTAAATCATAGTTACTTTGCACAGACGTATATGATACTTAAAATCTATCAACCTGAGACAAAACATGTTTAACGACTCTGAGTAGTATTTATCATGCTAACATTTTAAGAAATTAGATTCAAATTATAATAGTATATCAATATCTGTTTAATCATCAATAAATTCACGCTTGCACAAAGTCACGCTTTGGTAATTTAATAATCAGTCTATGGAACGTGTGAATCGAGAAAACCGTTTTTTATGTGTATTAGCGATATGTTCTTTTGTAAATGAGATGCTTTGTGGGGAAATCTTAAACGAATGTTGACATTTGAATGAAAAAAAGAAAAGTCATTGGAAAGTACTTGTTCATTCTTTTTAAAACATAAACGTTTTACAACTTGCTATGTATTTTGAACATTTTATCCCAAGTATGCTGTATATATACTAATAAATATGTATTTGCATAAAATCGAAACCTATTTTCACGATCAATAATTTCGAGGTGTCCAAATACTTTTACAATGATGTATCAAAAACAGTGGAATGGTCATTGAACTTAATCGATTGCATTCTACGCGAAAATCACTTGTAAAGGGATAATAATGCTATATTTTCTGATATGAGTTCGATGTTTTTCTATTAGAAAAGCGATATGCTTTTATTATGAAAAACATTTCCAATGCGATTTTTTTTCAAATAGAAATGCGATACGTTTTTCATATAAATAAAATACGATAATATGGCACAATTCATCCAAAAAGTAGAAACATCGACAAGATGTTGTAAGTACACAATAAACCAATAATGCGCTTATAACGAAGTAGACACGATGTTCAATATACCCTGTGCGTCGATCAATTTATGACTTTCCAATCAATATTGCACAGTATTTACCGACTTCTAACTTCTATATGTAATCTAAATAGTTAAATGCAATTGTTGAAATTAAAATGACAATACTTTATCATGAAGACTATACAAAAGTCAAAGACATATGACTGAAGTTGCAGAGTGAAATAGTTTCCCTGGAAATGAGACAATAAAATGCTTTTTTAACTACATAACAAATATCATTGACCAATTGTTAATGAATCTCTTTAAACTGACCTAATCACAAACTTTATATGTAAGCGATGCAAACCTTTCGCAGTCGATGAACCATCGTTAGGGGGCGAGGCCGAATAATCTCTATAACAATATGCTAATGCTAATACAAATTAATACTAAATATCCATTGACTTATTGCTAGTAGTACCCATTTAAAAAACATTACCTTATCACACATAAAAAAAGGATGACGCCGCCGACGCCACCAGAAACAGCAAGCCTCCATTACTTTGTAGAGGCGAGACAACAAATATTTATGCTAACCTTTTTTCGCCCTCTAATGTATGGACAATTTATATTTGATGTAATGTTATTTCAATTTTATCGAATTATTAATGAAGATAACAAAAAAAGAGACCAAGAAATAATTAGATAGCAAAAAATGAGTAAGAACATAGTTGTGTAGTTGTTAACTAGGATCGTTTTTCTTTTCCATTACTTAAAGTAAGTTTTTTTTTCATACGACCATCTATTTGACATGCCCGAGGACTCTTGTTTAGAACAATTATCTTTGAACATTTCAAAGTAAACACATTAAATGTACTCATATCTTGAATATAAACACTTTAAAATGTGTTTTAGAATAACAGTTTTTATGACTTTAAAACCACTAATTTTTAAACTCAGCATGATCATAAACACAATTCTTAACACCTCAATCTAAACATGTTACGAAATAAAGTGTGCAAATAATGTATTTAGAACTGTGTTTCAGTCAGGATTGTACTTCGTTAAAATTATCCCCCAATTACGCAAACAATTCTTTTCTATCGTAAAAATGAAAACCATTGTAGGGAAGACACGCTTTCAATTTAGCTCTTGAAAACCGATAAATTTATCAACTTAGCATCATTACCATATGTATATGCCAGTTGTATTTTAAAAGACAAATGTATCTACTAGCTCTATAGCTATTCAGCATCGTTTAATGATAATCACAAACAAAAAAATTTATGAAATATTTCGTAAAAGGCCATACTAAAAATTTTCAGATGTTGAAGACGAATTACCCTAGAAAATACACACAACAAATGGAACTTTTTTGAAGTCATGCATTTTTAAGACTCGGGTCGGGATATACAACATAACTTGATTTTGTTCTTTACGTGTAAAAGTAAACCGAAATAGCAAAATCCAAGCAAAGTTAAAAAGGGAAAGTCCAAACCCTAGCAACGGAACATCGCTATGTAACTTTTATCGAACACAGATATGTTTAAAGAACAATTAAGAATTATCAAAATGTCTCAAAAGTTCATTTTGACGTTAAGCAGTTGGCTAAAAACTGCAACCTCATATAACACGAACAAGTAACAATAAAAACATCCGCAACTACAATTAAAACAATAGCATTTAATTATCTATTTACAAAAGAAAAAGGTAGCACTACAAGGACATAAACTTTTGCTACTACTTTGATATTGAGCATATTGTAAGACTTAATTTTTATTTATATTTAAATGAAAGGTTAACAGTGTATATGTCCATAAATCAATCTTACTCTGTTGCTTGTTTGACTGATCCACTTGACTTATTTCCTTAAAAATCAACATTGAAAGACTGATTATAATCGATTTTGCGTTCTATTGATTAATGGTATTACATAAAACGCTTCTATTTGTCGCGTGAAATAATTCCAGACTTACCGTATTTATATATTTTAATATTAAACATTTTTTTACTGCCAAAAAACACCCTTTTTCTTATTGAGTGTCTGCATATTTATAATTTTATATCAGAAAATATCGCGACTCCACAAAAGAAACAGTTTTCTCGATTCGCACTTTCCATAGACTGATAATTGCATGTTATCATAGACACAAGTCCTACGCCAGACGCGTGTTTTGTCTACAAAAGTCTCATCAGTGACGCTCGAATCAAAAAAGTAAAATGCCGAATAAAGTACGAAGATGAAGACACAAAATTCCGAAATCATTACACTGGAGTAAAGGACACAAACGATTATAAAAACAGAGCTGTATTCATGACCTTGACGAAGTAAAATCATTTGGTTATTACCTTTTTTATTATATGAAAATGTGAGATACTTTCATAATGCAAAAATAAAATGGAAAAAGGTCTGCTTTAATAAAAACTACTATGAAAAGTCATTGATTTCAAATTAAAATACATATACGTTTGCCTGTTTTATTTACAATCTAAAGTGTTCCGATTCCAACATATGAAATTAGACAAGTTAAAAGAACATGTTGAACCGAAAACACCTGAAAAAGCTCTATAAAGCCTTGAATGATTTTGTCAAATTTCACACGGGTAATCGTTTTCCATTTGACATTGTCAAGTATGTGTCTTATCGTCTATCTATATCTTATACCAAAGCATATTTGTTAAGATTGTGTATTTAAACAAAATATAAAATTATGTAATAAAAATGAATAAGCTATAAACTGTATCACATGAAACGTTATTGGTTAACATAGTTCCTGGTACATATGGTACTTACAGTTTTTATCATGTTATAGGATGCGACTTAAATTCTCATTTTCCGGTCTCTTATTGTTAATTGTAATTTAAATTTTATTCTGAGTGGAACAATCATATATGTATAGATTAATTCAACATTTGACCAGAATGAATGCAATAAAAATTGTATGTCTCGTAACTTTAAGGATAATTAGTACTCTTGGTGAAAATTCCAATAATGGTTTGTATAATTTTTTTAATCTAGTTTTCGAATAATATAGTTTTAAACAGTTTTTGGTTTTACACCAAATTATCTTTTCTTAGACATTTTCCAATATTCGTGTATATCAAGTATTATCATTTCCACTGGAACAAATATTACAGTATTTGTTGGTGATGGAATGGAGGATATAGAGTATTTGTTTCAACAGAATTTATTCCAACAGGAATAGATGTTATGGCATGGTTTTTAATAAAGATTTCAGGGGTACTTCTGTAAGGCGGAACAAATACACATTTACAATATGCATTGTTTTTGTATGTGTTCATGTAGTCATTTTATAACATTCCTATTGATATTTGACGAAAAAGTTTTCCACTACCTCAAATCAGTGCCTATTTACCATGTTTACATTTAATTTCCTATTCGATTTGAGTATTTTATTTATTTTGCTTTTAGATATGAATATTCTCAACCTCCCTTTGCATCTGTGTGTTGGCACATTTTATACTTAACTGTTACAAAATGTGTTAATACTTTTATTTTATATCTATATCCTACACCAAGTTGTATATGCATGTGTTTACTTATATATAGGTGTTTCGTGTTCTTATCACATCTCTTATTGTCAGGAGTGAACTGTCTCTCGATTGAAGAAAGTCGCTATGGAGAACTTCATTGTAGAAATATTTCAAGTGTTTCTATTAAACCATTTTGGTTTGACGAACACCAGAAATGTGCATATCATATTTCTTCAACAAGTCTAAATGGACGTTTAACAATGGAATGTCATGGTTACTTCACGTGCCATACTAATAACTATCGATCAAACCGACCAAAGAGGTATCAACACCCGAACAGACGTTTTCATTGTAACGGTAAGTCATTTAACATTAATATCTCTTCTAAGTGAGCAAGAAATTGTCATAACTGATGCAGCCTTTTTGGATATGTTGGTTATTGTATACATTGTGTAAGTGAATATTTTTACTCTTTTTTGTAAAATTTCATACTTTAAAAAAAAGGAAAAATAGGACACCGATTAATTATTTTTAAGAACAATATCTTGGAATTTGTATGGCTAATATCAATAGATATTTCTGTAAATGCAAAATCAAAAAACAATGTTGAGCAATAAAATAATCAACATGATCAACTTAGAATGAGAAAAATTAAGCCGAACATTATTGGACACCGACCTGACTTTAAGCTATTTCTAGAAATAACTGATGATGTTTTCCTATTAAACTATTGTTTATTTCACCCTTATTTTGATTGTTATAAAATGCAAACAAATTAAAAATCAAGAACATTGCCTTTAGAAAACAAACAATCTAAAAAGTATATGTATATGTTTTTAATGCTTTTACGGGAAAATATGAAACGTCTATCGTAGAATTAGTTAAAGTATCTACATTCATTTGCTGATTTTTTTATCTATTCGGAGTTTGACTGAAACGACTTTCAAACTTATCTCGTAACGGCTTTGTTGCGGATGTACATGAGTGCGGTGTGTTCATTTGCGATGAACGGTTATAAATTCCAACGATGAGAAAATAATATAGCTTCAAAACAATACACATCCCATATAGACGAGTGACATTAACCATAAAATTTCATTTTTAATGCTCCCACCTAACATACGGCTAAATCATATACCATTCGAAAGCACATCACATGTACTATCTTTTTTGCCCGGTCGTCAAATATTCGTATGGTGCAGTTTCAATCACGATGAAAGGTCAAGGACAGATAATTTCTAATTATACAAGATGTCAGTATTTTTACATATTCTGTCAATATCGGATTTTTAACAAATAGCGCCGTTTACCAGAAATTCCTGTGAAAATGATAACAATGCGTGAAAACCAAAATTTGTGTCTGTGATTCAATTAATTTTCACCATAAAACCAAATAATATATTTTATTTAGTGCTAAGGATGTTTTTGACCTCATCACATTACTGCAATTACGCTTCTTGTTAATTAAACAGCCAATTATAACAACCCATGCAGTTGCCCAAAATACCGTCATCTGCAAAAAGATATCCTTTTTAGCTGTTCTATCTTAAAACAAATTGTATGTAGTCAATATTATGCTGAAAAACATAAATCTTAAAAGTGCAAAAAGGTTAAAGGATATAAAACACAGGAAATTCATGCTTTTAGGGGAAAGTTTGGGAGCGAAACTTTGATTTTTCAATATTTGTATGTTTTCTTGGTTGCTGATGCCGAAGTAAAAGCTATTATAAACTAGTCGCTGAAAATGTTCTTCATGCCTAGCCGAAGTATTTAATCCTATCAAAGTACGTAATTTCTTGTAAATAAATCGAGACATGTTGCAATTATATTTACTTACATTATTTTTTTTGATTTGGAAATTCTAGCAATTCGCTATAACATTTAATAATAACAATAATATTTACACTTCCTGACTAGTTAACATATTAGTATATTTAATATAAAGATGACTGATTGATTGTTGGTGTTTAACGCAATTTTCAGCACTATTGGCTACTTAAGTATTTTTGCAGCGATCAGTTTTTATTGGTCCACGGAGTGCCCAGGGAACCACCGACCTTTGGCAGGAAAACTGGCAATCTCCGTCAACAATATATTAGTTATATTTATTAGTATCAAGGACGAAATTACTATGTAGGTGTCACAACAAAAGATCTACCAATCAGCATCAATAGCCTTTTGTTAAAGTAGGCAACCTCTTACCAAACAAAGCAGTTTTGATATTAATGTTTACTTCAGCATATGTTACAAATCAATTTCTTAATAGAAACTGAAATATAAATGCATTTGAACCGCTTTCACTTCAAATTTAAATGCCCATGATTTAGCATTAAAATTTCAATGTCGATGTGCAACATATTAATATTTTCATTTAAGGCATTCAGAAAAACATATGTTAGTAGATCGTCTGTCAAGCATTGATTAAATATTGGCTTATTTTAAAAGATAGCACATGGACATTAAGAATATATACTGTTAAAATGAACTTATTTTATTCTAAAATATCTATACAATTGTGAGAAATGAAAATTATGGTTGAATGTTTTCATTTCTTTTAATTGGTTTTAGTGCGAAGGTCTTTAAACAATAATAAGTGATATTAGTTGACATGAAAAAAAAACGTACAAAATGGTATGTATAAGTGTTAAAAACATGGGTTAAAACAACCTGACTAAAATTCAGATCTATCACGAGAGAGAGAGAGAGAGAGAGAGAGAGAGAGAGAGAGAGAGAGAGAGAGAGAGAGAGAGAGAGAGGAGGTTTATAACATTCGTTTTCCATTCGTTTGATGAGTTTGAGCTTTTGGTGTGGTCATTGAAAATGGAATTTCTGTTTTGAATTTTCCTTAGAGTCGTTTTTTTTTTTGTTGTTTTACTTTTTTATGTCTTGTATCGATATCTGAGTTTTAAGTTCTGTTGTCTTTTATTCGCTCAGCTTTGAATCATCTGGTTTACTTGTCTTTTGTTGAAAGAAGAAAGAATATAACAGGGAAGGCAACAAAAAGCAAAATGATCCCTATTTGCAGATGGTGTTTTTAGGGCAACTTCAAAAGCTTCATTAGAAGGCTGCATCCTGACCTATATCATATTAATTGCAGTTTGAAATGATGAAAAAATGATCTAGGCCTATAAACGATACATCTATTCTATTTTTTACATATAAATATTCAAACCTCAGGAAACATTCAGCTTTTATTGCAACTTTATCATTTTTCGAAGTTTTTTTCAAGAAATGCAATTTTCTGTAAATATTGCGCAATCACCATTTTAGTTTGCAACTGTTTGGAATCATGGGATTTTGTTTTCTAAGGTTCAGATAATATTTAGAAAAAAATTATCATACAAGTACCAAAAAAGGGCATTTCGTTTAATTCTAGCAAAATTTAGGAATGTTCAGTTTTGACCTTTGATTTAACGGAAATTGCACCGTGCGAATTATTGACGACCAGGCAAAACAGAAAGTACAGTTAATAGGCTTTCGAATGATATATAATATAGCCTATGTTAGGTGGGTGCATAAAAGTCGTTAACTACGCGTCTTTTTGAAAACTTTCACTCGCCTAATACTAACAGGCAAATAAAAATGTTTTGCTCCGCAACAAGATAAGTAAATTCATAAAACATTCATTCATATAAGTAACTTTATCTGAGTTATCTCCCCTTAAATGGCAAAAAGGCAAAAATGTTATCAAACAAAAAATATTCTGTATTTGTACGAAACAATTTATTTCATTCAGTTAAACATTTTACAAATGAATTGTATTCTTCTCTCAAAATGTGCCCATTTCAAGAACGATTTTCTGAATATTTCGCTAAACTAAGACTGACCACAAAGATTTACATCTAGGTAATTATAGGATTGTTACCATCCTTCAGCATGTACAGGTAAATCTAAAGTCTATACAATCATAATGTATTGTATTTGAATATTTTGATTAAGGCTTATTCCATTTTGTTGGCTACCAAAAGTTAAGATTCTATTTAAATATATTGAATATATGGAAGTTTGCATTTGGACACTTGTACTGAACTTATATAAACTACCAACTTCAATCCATAAGTAAACGACATGGTTTTCATTGAAAAGAAACAATCGTTTTATGACTTAATTAGTGTAAAGTAACTATTCTTAATAAATACACTAAAACTAAATAAAAAGTATGACTTACATAAAATTGATTTATGAAAGATAACGATAATGCAGAATTTTGTTGGAAATCAAATTCATGTAGTTCATCAATGATATAAGACGATCAATACTGAGCACCATTTTTAAGAAACTAAAAGGATATCTTGTATTATTTTGAATATAATCAAATAAACATATAATTTTCCTTAACACCTTCTCCAAACTGTTATATGTGTGATCATATTTTGGGACAATTAAAACAAACGCGTAAATGAAACCCTCAGGTCAACATGCAGATATCAGCAATATCTTATATATACATGTCTAAATTGAAAACAACGATCAAACCTATGATTGCGTTGGATAAAAACCGCAATTTTTATACGTGTGCATGCAAAACAAATTTCTTTGAAGAGGGGTCTAAATACAGCACAAACAACACATATATGCATGAACCATAAGTAACGCTACACATCGATTAAACGATCTGTGAATTAACTGAAAAAAACACAAATCTTACATTAAATATTATCTAATTGACCAAATTAAATTTAGAAACAAGCACAATTGACCAATAAATATGCTCCATCCTTGGTTCTGGTAAATGAAAGGTAGCAAGACAAAAAGAAACCGGGCTTATAATATTATGATGTCTTACACCAGACGCGCCACTTGCCTACCTTAGTTAGTCTCGAATCGGAACAGTGTAAAGGACAAAGTTTACAACCATTGAGAAACACAACTTCTTCTCAATTTAAACAATTAAGAGATCTGTTCATTGTCCATGAGATACATAAATGGCCTTTATAGTTCAATTATTATGTTTAAGGAAAGATTGTTACTTTGTTTGCCGTTTGTAATGTAAGATTGTGAATTCGTTTGTTGCGTTTATATGACAGAGTTACTGGTAACTGGTAATTGCAATTGTATAAAGCATGCCATATTTGAATTGATAATTAAAATAATGAGGATCAATTCTTTATATCAAGATATTTGAGGGGCTTTGGTTGCTAAGTAGTTAAAGTAGTTCAACTACATAATTACTAACCTGTCACCTGAGATTATACAGTCGAACCCAGCACGTGGCAAGAGCGTTTGACTTCATTCCTAATTGACTATAATTACCGGTTTGCCTGCCGAACGTCAATGATTCTCTCCATAAACTCCGGTTTTCTTCACCCATAAGTGCCTGCAACGATATAGCTGCCAGTGCTGCACGTAGCGTTAGACATAATCACTTAATCAAGCAATCAACATTTCAAAACTTAAAAAAAGTATACTAATGTATTATTTGTAGACTGTTTTCCACTATACTCTGGAGATATAGCAAGAATCAAATGCCAGGCATCCAGTGCAGTAAACATTGACAATATGAAGTATGATAACGAAATTTGTGAAGCTCCCATGTTGTCCAAAAACCAATATCTCTCAGAAAAGAAAATATGTGAAAATTCGTTTACATGTTCCATCGAAAACACTGATAAAAATGAAAGCATTGATGTTCACTGTACAGGTTTGTGCGTACTTAAAATAGTCTTATTCTGGTATATGCCCATTTTTTGGTTAGTTTTAAACAATGGCATAACAAAAAATTGTTTTAAAGATATTTAAAAGACTGTTGATTTAAGTAAAATGTAAGGCTGATTGCTAGCTGTGTTTCATTCAATTTAACTTAAACATAGGCTAACAATAGCGATGGTCGTTCAATTATAACAAGTTTGACATGTTTATAAGTTCAAAGCGATATATTACTGCACCAAGGATATGAATTTTACTAACATTGCTATTACAGGGACAATATAATGGCTCGTATCGTACCTCCCTTTAAATTTTCATTAAGTATTTCCTGCTGAGGGGTATGTGATATTTACCTAGCTGATGGAACACGATTTGTGCTAGATTACAATTACAATTGAAACTAAATCATGTCTGTTTAAGTTAACACATGCGGCGGAGTACAACTAAGCTGTTGTGAACTACCGTAATATCATCTGTCAAACATAAGAGTATCAAAATTGAAGCAAAATCATAAAAAGCTCGAATTTGTAAAATAGTAAGAGCAATTTCTGACCAGCTTTTTAAATGTGTTACCTGCAGTGATAATACAGTAATGTAAAAATTTGATAACATCAACATTTCAAATAAATGATAAAGATTTGTGCAAGCAGAAATTAAGAAATAAACATGTATATGGGTATTTCAGAATTATAGAAGACTAAAGACCGAGTAACATAAACCTTACCAAAAACCGGGGTTCTATAAGGTGCTTCTGAGAAAAAACAAACCCTGCTCCACATATCTCAGCCGTTGTGTTGTTAATGTAGGTACAAATTCAGTGATAACTCTAATTCGGTGATGTCACATTAGACGAAAAGATGATGGGGTTTTGGTTACGACAGTTGAAATATATCCGTCGTCAACTATAAAACAGATATTTTATATTGTTCAACCAACTCGTGATGGCGTCCATGGAATTTTTGAAGGAAGGACTTCAACTTCACCACTTGGAATTCTTTAATAGCTTCTTTGTAAGCAGCAAGTCCGTATCAAGAAAATCATGATAGCAAGTATTGTGTCATCTAGGAGAAATATATATATATATATCTACTCCATATGCAAGCGATGCTGAAATGTTGCTATATAGAGATAGAACGTTCACAGTTGGGACGCTCATTTAATCTTTTGCGTTGTAAAGTTTTAACCTAATATCATTGTCAATTTTAAGATATGAATCAAAATATGAGAAAGACTTAATTTTATCTATTGTATCCTTCATTTCAAAATCAAGAGGATATATATGTTCCACACTTTGCATTATCTAATGACCGGACATTATCTTTATAGCGGAAGGTGACTTTTAAGAATGATGCTAGTTTCTTTACGTTCTCCCTTAGAAGCTCCTGTATGACATCTGTCTAGTATAAAAAAGGGAACAAGTTGGCAAGAAGAGAAGCACAGTTGGTTCTAATGGGAATACTGATTGTATGTTTCCTTTTGGTGTTTTGAAGAATTATATATGGTCCCTAAGAGGTCTTTTGTGGTTGTGTCATTGACCTCCTACCGTATTGATGTATTCCTTTTATTATTGGAAGGTGGGGTTTCCGCTAGACTAACGGTTTCGGCATTAAACCAGTCAACACAAAATGCTGACAACAGGTCTGGTGATACCCTCGGACAAGTCAACCAGCAGTGGCATCGACCAAGCAGGTGTGAAAAGTCGAAAAAAATACTAGGCTTATTTGTTACTCCAAGCGAGCGATTCGTCTAGATAAGGCTCATCAGTTAGGCTCGAAAGAAACAAAAATCAAAGGCAAACATCAAAAACGAAGTTCAAGAGCATTGCAAACATTCCTAAAAGTTGTCACAGATGTAAAAAGTAGTGGAAAAAATTGCTTGAAAACGGACTATCAAGGTTTTACTAAGGATTGATGTATTATATTTATCCGTCTTGTCTCTTAAACAAAAAGAGAAATCATTGCCATTTGGATCGTGTCGAAACTTGTTTTTATACTAGGTAAAACATATTGCGATGTTTACATGTATGTGTAACCGAATATTAGAGAAAATTAGAATGCATGTTCAAGTGCATATCTCTGTTTTCTTTTTCTTTCCGGTATGTTCAAATAAAGCGGAATACCCGCAAGGAAATCTGGTTTTGCTATTAAAATGACAGATATATCAAAAGGAAAACGAGCCGAATTTCGATTTCCATCTTAAATGACAGTAGTTATTTGAATATTAGTCATTTGTTATTTTCAAGCTATAATTTCATTTATGATGGGTTTAGTAATTATGAATACAAGAAAATGTTATGTGTAATACAATCAATGGCATTCGTTCGATATCAGTCATAGAACGGTTGTACAGGCTTGAAAGAGACACATTTCTAAGTACATATATATACTAAGTGTATATGGTAAGGCTGCTACTATACCACACGTCATTATAATCCCCAAACAAAATAATCTTCGAAATTCAATTGGTGTTTCATATTTAAAAATATCAAATCATTTGATACTTTTAAATAAATTCTTCGACGCAAAACATTTGATAAAAAGATATTTTATTTGAAAGGAGAATACCATGTGGTTTCTTCAATATCACACCCATTTCAATATGATATACGTTTGGTTTAACATGGTAATATAGTGCTATTTTATGTTTGGAAAGGTGTCTATTACCTAGGACCGTATGATGACCTTTATACATTTTCCCCATATTTTTGGGTGGTTCATTGGTTTACTGTCTTTTTGATAGATATCTTAAATTCCCTTCGAAAAATGATTTATCACATCAAAATGAAAGCATAAATCATGTGTGAAATAGAAGCTTTTTCCTTCTCGCTAAAAAAGAAAGACCTTTAAAGTAACAGATCATTAAGATGGGACGTTTAGGCTCCGACATTCCAAAATTCAAAGCCTAGAGTGTTTTTTTTCTTCTTTAAATTCACTTTTAATTTTTAAAATCTATCAAGCCTGTTTTGTGCGACTTATTTTTCTATGACCAATGCATCTGAAAACTTCCTGCAATCCAGAGGTCAAACAGTCAAACTTATATAACCGAGGAAATAACAATAGGAAATTGTTATGATACCAGTTTCGACTTATATGTAATCATTTCTATTTAAGTTCGCATACCAGTTGATGACACAAGTACAAAATCTCATGGTAGGCTTATTTATTAAGACATTGTTTGTTCAAATAAATTCAAAAGTTTCTTTTTCTTTTTGCTTTGTTAATTTTTGTTAAAAATGTTATACTTTTATCATTTTATTGTATTTCATTGACGATTGTAATCATTATTCTTTAAATAATGTTTAGCGTATTTTTTTCTGAAAGTGAAATGACTTTTGTCCAAATAGTTTTTCAAAAATTCCATTAAATTTTGACAACGTCATATTGATGTTTGAATATGACAGAAGATAGATTCTTCAGTTGTGTAATTCATACGCAATCCAATCAATGTCAAAAGTTCATGCATATGGAAAAAAAAAAAACTTAATGAGTCCAATCATACTAATACTATTCCAAAGTGTTATATTAATATAATACAACGAGGGGATGCGAAAGATACCCATCAGTCGAAAATAAACTGACAACGCCACGGCTAAAAAAGATAAGAAACAACTGACAATCAACAGTACACAAAACACAACATAGGATTTGATATTTTGGAATAAACAGAATCAGTATTATGCAGCAGGACAATAAACATTATCAAATTGTGAACATTTCACATCTGTTTTATGTTTTGCTATTTTAGTTGGCAAACCAGTTGATGACAGTAGTACGGAATCTCATCGTAAGTTAATGTATTAATTAAATGTTATTCCAACTAACACCAGCAATTTTCTTTAAGTAGTGATTTTTTAATTGATTGTTTATTTCTTTAATGTTTTTGTAATAGTTATTTGTTTGTTACGTTTTGCACTGGCACTGAAATAATACAACTGTTTTTATATTTTGAATATAATGTATTTCAGGTGGCTATAGTATACCAGATGATGACGCAAGTAAGAAAACCATTGGTATGATTGATGATGTACGATTGCCAATGAGACAACTCTCCTCAAGAGACCAAATGACATAGAAGTTCACAACTATAGGTCACCGTAAAAGTCTTTAACACTGAGCAGAACCTATACCACATAGTCAGCTATAAAAGGCCCTGATATGACAAATGTAAAACAATTAATACGAGAAAACTAGCAACATGATTTTTGTACAAAACAATGAACGAAAAACATATATGATATACATCAACAAAGGACATTCACTGAGATACAGGCTTCTGACTTGGGACATGCACATACAGAATATGGATGAGTTAAACTAGTTAGTTGGCACCAAACTCTCCCCCTAACCTAGGATAGTGGTGTAACAGTACAACATAAGAACAAACTATAAAAATCAGTTGAAAAAGGCTTAACTCATCAGATCGATATAAAGTAGAAAAACATCTCTAACAAAACATAGACCGGACGTTGTAGGGTATTCATACATCCCCAATACTAAAAAGACACTTAGTACATATCTGAAAGTGCTCGCAGTTACTGAGAGCTAGATCAAAGCCAATAAATACTATTAAAAATCATACATCTCAGAATAAAATACCAACCAGTACACACATAACATCAAATGGATTTAGTCTAAAGACGTCATTAACAGTCAGAGAAAAATATGACCTTGTGTAATGCATGCTAACCAAGACTTCATTGGTATAATAACATATTTAATGACGTCCCTAGAATGAGTTCAATTACAGACGTATCACTTTAATTATGGGGATTAAATTTCCTATCGGAAAAAAAAGTCTTGCGTATTTTATTTTTTTTTTCGCAATTTCAAGAATCAAATGATGTCCATCATACTGCTCGTGTGCATTTGATAAATTATAAAGAGAGGGTTCTCCGATTTATACGTATTTCTGGTATAACAAACATGCCTTAAATTATCAGTTGAACAATTTAGAAATTAGTAAGAACCTAAGGTTGCAACTCCTTCAGGCAAAGTTGACGTTTGTTGAATTTGGCGATTGTTTTTATTTTTTCATAAAGCTCCTCCCGTGTTTCGGTACTAGTTCAATTTTTGCTTTTGGTGTTCCTAATGAATGCAAACCCTGAAATGCGCTTTTTATACTTTGAAATGACAGAATTCGTATTATGCAGCAGGACAATAAACATTATCTTACAGTGAACATTTCACATCTGTTTTATGTTTTGCTATTTTCAGTCGGCAAACCAGTTGATGACAGAAGTACGGAATCTCATGGTAAACTAATTTATCAATTAAATGCTTGTCCAACTAACTCCAGCAATTTTCTTTAGGTTCTGATTTTTTAATTGATTAGACATAAGAAGATGTGGTATGAGTGCCAATGAGACAACTCTCCATCCAGGTCAAAATTTATAAAAGTAAACTATTATAGGTCAAAGTACGGTCTTCAACACGGACCCATTTCTCACACCGAACAGCAAGCTATACAAGGCCCCAAAAATTAGAAGTGTAAAACCATTCAAACGGGAAAACAAACGGTATAATCTATATAAAAAACGAGAAACGAGAAACACTTTTGAACTACATCAACAAACGACAATTACTGAACATCAGATTCCTGACTTAGGACAGGTGCAAACAATTGCAGCGGGTTTAAACGTTTTAATTGTACCAAACCTTCACCCTTATTTGAAACAATAGTGTATCACCACAACATAGAAAGATACCCTATAAAATATCAATTGAAATGGCTTTACTCAATAGTTTATTTGTTAAATGTTTTTGTGATAGTTATTTGTTTGTTACGTTTTGCACTTGCACTGAAATAATACAACTTTTTATATTTTGAATATTATTTATTTCAGGTGGCTATAGTATACCGGATGATGACGCAAGTAAGAAATCCCTTGGTAGGTAAATTTAGAAGTCATTTCTGCCTTTCTTTTGAAAAGTCTTTAGAAATTGTTCTGAAGATGAGTTCTTTCAAACTCCCCAGTGCAATCTCCTTTTGATTTTTCTCTAATTAAGGTCTTTCCTTTTCCAAAAGGGAAGACCTCTCAATTGTTTACGAACAACAATTGACATTTCGATTGCTAAGGTCTTTCCTTTTTCAAAAGGGAAAGACCTCATTGTATTTGTTCTCATTATTAAGGTCTATCTTTTTCTAAAAATGAGATTTGACCTTTCCGTAAGGGGCATAACTCCCCGTTAACGGTGTGCAAAAAGACAAAATTAGCTTTAACTTTTAAACCAAAGGTCCTAGACCCGTGTGGTCTTTAGAATTGATATCGGAAACCAATGACCTTGACAAAATTTTCAAAATCAAAAGTCAACGTCATGTCCCAGTTAGCGAATTATGTGTTTTTAATCTTATTTAAATGGTTTTAAGAGTGTTTTAAAGCTTATTTTTATGTTGACCCTCACCTTTGACCTTACACTTTGTCTCAGATAACCATTATACTTAAAGAAATCGTTAATAATAAAAAATGTTTGGGTCATTAAGGTGCAACATTGCTACTGTTTGACCGAACTGATTTGACATTACTGTAAAGGGCATAGCACCCGACAACTATTTCTGAAAAGACAAAACTATTTTTAACTCTTAAACAAAAGGTCCTAGCCCAATAAGATATGTTGCAATGATATCAGAGACTAACGACCTTGACAAAGGTTATAAAATCAAAGATTAAGGTCATGTCCCGGTTATCGAATTATGTTTTATTGATCCTATTTTAGGTGTTTAATGTATGTTTTAAAGCTTTCCGATGCATTCTACATCTGTTTAGATAAATATTCTACATTCTGAAAAGGAAAAAAACCTCTCAATTGTTCACGAAAAATTGACATGTTAAGTATTACTACTTTTTTCACTTGTGTGTAATATGTGCTTTGCAACATATTCAAAAAAATATTTGTTACATGATGTCATAAAATTAATTCGTTTTTATTAGGGTATTGACATCGTTTAAAACAAATTTGTACATTCTCCGTTGATAAATTTTAGAATGACGCTAAGTTGATATTAGATGATTCATATTCTATTTGGTCATATGGCTCTTCACGTGTTCCACCTTGACTTTATATTATTAAGCTTTGCGTGTTCCTGATGAATTTAGGGGCCTCGGTGACCAAGTGGTCTTAGTAATCGAACTATTGTATCAATAGTCGGTCAACATTGCGGTTGTGTGTTTGAAAACCCGCACGTGGCAAGTGCGGTCGATTCCAATCTTAATTGACTAGGATTGCCAGTTTTCAACCAAAGGTCGGTGGTTTTCTTCGGGCACTCCGGCTTCCTTAACCAATAAAAACTGACCACCACGAAATAGTACAATAGTAAAAAGTGAAAGTTGTGTTATAAACCAATCAAGTCATCAATCTTGATGAAGTTTGATTCAGAATAGCGCTTCGAACGCATTCAATTTATATAGTTTTATTTTTACTTTAAGACCCTTTTTGTCACATAACTGCAAACGAATTCAGGTATTTATGATGCAGTTATATGTTGACTAATTTAATGTCAATGAACATTGAAACCATATGCATTTTTAATAAACATAACGAATCTGTTAAATAAGTCCGAAAGGGATGTTTTCTTAACCGGAAGTATTAAAGTATCTACCTTATTAAAATAAAGAAACCATATATTATTTGTTATCAGTGTAAAGTGGCACGAGTTGAATATCCTTCGATATTTTAAATTCTAGGATTAGGTATTGTTTTTATTACATTAAAAATAGATTTATATCAATTCAAATAAAGTAGAAAATTGAAGAAACAATATGTTTTTCTATGCGTTATTATTTACTTTTGATGCAACGTCATCAACAATATCTTGACAACACCCATTGTTGCATGGCGTCAGAATGAAATTGTCGGATTTATTTCACTGGCAATACTTAAAATAATAAAGACTTCTACATATTATGCACTACAGATAAACAATTTCACTGGCATCCTAAAAATATTGTTAGATATTTAGCGTTTACCGCACAGTAATTCTCAAAATTTGTGATTTTTAACTAAACAAATTTCTTTTTCATAATTAATTTCCGAATATTTACAAAAACTGTAAAGAGCAAAACGTATCAGCATGGCAAGATATGCAATAGAGTCAAATAACCGAAATTTTGTGTCGCCTCCCAATTGAAGTCATTGCCCTTTTATGCCGATTTTTTCCAAATTTAGCATTTTTGCCTATAATCTTGAAAACTATAATAGATAGATAAAAATTTAAAGGCAAAAATGATCAGCAAGACAAATCTACAACTAAGTCATCACAGCCAAAATTTGCAGGCGACTCCTTATTGGAGTCATTACCCTTTAATGATAACTTTTACCAAAATTACTTTAAAAGGGGGGGGGGGGGGGTATCAGCAGGATCAGATCCACAAATACGCAAACATGACTGTAATTCTTAATAGAGTTTTTACCTTTAAATGAAGATATGTACTAGACTGTGGCCATTGTTGAAGATAAAAGTGATCGACACAGGCTCTATAGAGCCTCCAGTTAAATTTCTCTTGGAATTTGGTATATTTGCTAAACACATTACTTGCACAGAGATTTCATTCTTAAAAGAGAAAAATACATGGTCTTATATCAATTTACTTATAACAATATAAGTAGTCTTTATCCATTTTACTGAATGACATACATTCAATTTGTCCATATGGTACTCCATGGCAACCATGAAAGTCTTTCATGTGGTACTATATGACACACATATATCTATTCCATATGGTACCAAATGACATAACGATACATATAAGTTTTCCATTTGATAAAAAATGGTCGTGAGACAAAATGATTATACTACGAAATAGTGTTTGTTTTGATACACGTACCACGTAGATGATACGAAATTATAAAGGTACGAAATTACTTTAATTAACTCAAACCATTGGATACCTTATCATTTAACATTTAAGTTTTTTAATCAGTTGCGTGCATTATGTAAGAAATTGCCCCTTTATTAATAAAAGCATTACTGGTTCATTACAGACTAACAAGGCATTAATACTGGACCATTATGAAAAATCAGGCCTATTATGAATAAACAGGGTTTGTTTCTGTTAAATCGACTTATGACTATTGAACAGCGGTATACTACTGTTGCCTTTATTCATTATGCAAAAACAGTGTCATTGTGAAAAAAACAGGGACATTATGAAACAACAGGGACATTATGAATAATCAAAGCTATTACGGATTTTCAGTTGTTATCAATTTAAATACACTTCTTGGGAAGAGAAACACTAAGAAATTGAAATTTTATTTGACGCAGTTGTCAAGTTAATTATTACATAATACATTCTACGATGTGTTCAATTTATTTTATTTTGAGTTGTATAATCCAGAATGAAGTCGTAGATTTTGTATGCCATAAATTGCTTTCAATAGGACAATAATTAAACTATATTGACATTGGCATGTTTTTCCATCATATCACTTTAAAAGTTTCTTTTTAATATTGCATTTGGTATAATCATATATAAACTATTTCTCCACACAAAAAAACTGATTTGACTGGTTAAATAATAGACATTGACGGTTTGGTTAATAAAAGTGTTAAGAAATGGATGTTTTCAAAATGACACTGGTATTTGTCCTGGGTCAGAAATAATGGTGTCATTACAGGCATCCTCGACCATATAACAGGTCCATTGTGAAAACACTCATTAATTGATTCTATAATATGTACATATACATTTTTCGATTTTATTTTTTATAGGTTTTTCAAACTATACATTTATTGTTGGAGGAATAGTAGGAGTGTTACTCGTCATATGTATTATTGTTGGAGTTTGTCTAATTAGGTATAACAGAACGTTCTTTTTTGTGTGGTATGAAATTCGAGATAGCTTATCAATGAATTTATAATAATAGTCATGAGACGGAGAACAAATTTAAGAACAACAATTGAACAAGGCTGCATCGAATATTTGTTTATTTAACGTCCAACTCCAAATATGTGAAACATGTCCAGGAGAAATTGGCAATATATAAGTTCGCGTGTTCAGTTAAGGCCCGGAGAAAGAAAGGTAGTTTTCAACCACGACTTACAAAAGAAGTGTCCTGATATATCATTGAATCTTTATAACAATGGTATTGATAAGAGCAGACTAATAAACAAAGTTTTTGATCTATTTTTTTTTGGACAAAGATAGATAAACCAGCAATACTACATAGCACGAAACAATTTACACTAAACGTAAAGGCAATTTGTTTTCTTTTTATATCTTGTTTATGTTATTTCAGTAATCGATATTCTTGTCGCTGTTAATAGAATAGTAAATGTATAAGAAATAACAATTCTTCGAACTGTTTGAAAATAACTCGCATGGTAATCATAAGGGATTTAGGTTACCATCATTTAGCCATTTTTAAGGCTTGAAGTAAAAAACAATATATATTGCATGTAACTGAATGAAAATTACAAAAAAATTATATATAATGTTTTACTGTTGTGCGTTTGTTTTTCTACATTGGCTAGAGGTATAGGGAGAGGGTTGAGATCTCAAAAAACATGTTTAACCCCGCCGCATTTTTGCGCCTGTCCCAAGTCAGGAGCATCTGGCCTTTGTAAGTCTTGTATCATTTTTAATTTTAGTTTCCTGTGTATAATTTGGAGTTTAGTATGACGTCCATTATCACTGAACTAGTATACATATTTGTTTAGGGGCCAGCTGAAGGACGCCACCGGGTGCGGGAGTTTCTCGCTGCATTGAAGACCCATTGATGGCCTTCGGCTGTTGTCTGCTCTATGGTCGGGTTGTTGTCTCTTTGACACATTCCCCATTTCCATTCTCAATTTTATACTGTAAACCTAAATAACATTCGAAAAGAATAATACCTAATCTCCACTTGTAGGAAATGTAACTGCAGGGAATGCCGTAGTGCACATAGAAAGAGCAAGGAAAGGGTTATGCCAACATTAAATCCAACATACGATCTTTCTGGTAGGCCAAACAAAGAAGAAAATAACCACCAAGCTAACGTCGTCGATGCTCCTGGAGCACTACAATTTTCAACATCACATACAGTTTATTTTGACAACAGGACAGATTATAATGTATATGCAAAGGTCAATAAATTATGCCATATACAACAACCTGGAATCCAGACCAAAAAAGAAGAGCCAATAACGTATCCACATCCTCGGAACACAGTAGATGATTCAGACAACATGTATGATCATACAGTGCACAATGCTGTCCATGACATCTGCGATGGTGATTACGGCATTGCACGCAGAAGAATTACAGATGATGACTATGATGTATCTGGGAACTATTGTCAGTCACTTAGCAACAATGCAGACCCTGTGTACACCTGAGTTTGAGTAGTTCAATGAATGCTTTAGTGGTCGATGACTAATTAACTTATTTTGATGAAGCACACACTCTTTTGCTGGCTTATTTTGATTTAATGATCGAGTATGTAGATATTTGGAGTGTATTAAAGTCAAAAGTGAAATTACAGTAAATTGACGAATTTTAAAATTCATGAGTATGAAACCTTCTGTACCTATACCAAATTAGCCTGTCTAGACACTGTGTTGTTCTTTGTTGTTTGTCTATGTATGTATATATATTTTCCATGAAGGGTCGATTGAAAGTGATTGCTCAGGTTTATAGTACTGATCAATACTTTTGTCAATTCCTATTATCTTTAAATGTATAATATAATAGTAACAGTTCGTACATCAGCATATCTACGCTATTGTGAGTTATTTAAATTCAGAAGGAGATAACCAGATACAATCTTGTCAGAGTCAACCTGTTGTTTTCGAACACGTAAAATATCGTAAGATAACCCACACCCGGGATGTTTATAATGTAATTTGTCATAAGGTTTGAAAATCTTACATTTCCTCTTGAACTTTAATCAAAAAAAAAATGAATAATGCATGATTTATAAAAGAAACTACATATAGATCAATCAGCTCACAATGTAATATTTGTTTTCTTAAAATCACCGAAAGCAAAAACCTGTCAACTATTCTTCTCTGTAAATAGTTTTGCACATGATTTGTGCAAAAGTTGAACATCTAGATATAAATAGAGCGTTGTTGATATTTCATAACCTGACTGGTGACCTGGAAAGTGATATTTATGTCAGAAATATTACGATATCCATAAATATACAGCTGACATTTGTTTTAAGATACAAATTATTAAGTTAGTCGGGCTTAAGTATACATTTTGACTCAGTCATTGTTTAATAGTCATTTTCTACAATTGTAAATCCTAGAAATTATGAACTTTGGTTTCATCTCAAATCTATTTCAACTTTATGTCAACATGTATGTAAATAATGACTTGTGTATAAAATATTCATTGTAAATATACCTTAAAGTAACTATAAATAAACTATTTCATCTTATCAAATTTGGTTTCATTTTCTAAGATGGTGATGTGTAGATGATTTATAGGTTGCACATAGAGTACCTGATTACCAGGGTCCAAACGACATGGATAAAAGTTACAAAGCGTAAAGACATTTGTATAAAATAAGGAGACGTTGTCTGATTTTCAAAGAGATAAAAATCACACAGACTTAAACACGAGAAGTTACGTAATTATTGGTCATCTGATAGCCGTCAACAATAAGCAAAACACATACCGTAACGTCATTTATAATTTTCCCGATAAAAAAAAATGTGAAACATTCAAACTAAAAAAGTAACGCCCAAATTTACGAAAATCAGATATACTAGTAACAGACAACATCAAACGACAACCACAACAATAACAGGCATTTGACTTGGAAAAGGAACATACAGAATATGACGGGGATATACATTTATGTGAGCGCCCAACTAACGTGGACAATGGTAAAACAGCACAATATAAGAACAAACTGTAAAATCAGGAAATTGCTTAACTCACCAGATCGGAGCAAAGTATAAAAATTTACTATTTTAAAGACAAAGAAAAAAGTATCAACCTAAAACTAATAGATAAATCGTATTCTCCTAGACTGTGTCTGTTTTATAAAAGAATTACGGTGCCTCCAAATTATGTAATTAAGATCAATATCTATTGCTGAAATCTAGTAGAAAACTTATATTACTGCAGCTAATCCATATGTTGATATGACAGTCAAACACCACATGTAATATTGAGTATGCAAAGAACACAAGCGGCAGGGTTGAACTTCTAGTAAAGGTTCTTAATTGGTCAATTAAAGGATAATAACTTAGCTGTTATCCAAAAGAAAATGTATGCCCATAAATAACACGTTTACATATATAATGACAACAATAATAAATAATTTTATTAATGCAGATCAAACAAATAAGATGTATTAAGACTTTAGAGAACCAATATAATAACAAGACAGTGCATACCATTTTTATTTGTGTAGCACATATTTGAGACTGTATAGATTAAAAGTTTCTTCAATTTTTCTTTCATATCAGGTTATATTTATTATTTTTGGTATACGTCAACAAAAAGGAACACAACAACCGTAATAACCAAAACACATCTGGAGGTCAACACGTAGTCTTTTTATAGTCTTTAACAATATTTAAATGTGCAAACATACGAAGCCCCGCTAGGGACATGCAAAGAACAAACTATATATTGTGCGCACAATTTAAATATATTGTGCACACAATATATTTTTTTGTGCGCATAATATATATTTTTGTCCCTAGCGGGGCTCCGTACCTACACTGTGTTCAGTTCTAAATCGTCCAAGAAAACATTAACAACTACTGATAGATTTCTGTCCGATAATATGCACATGGAAATATGGTAATAATAAACCAGTTTTTGTTGGAAATCAACTAATCAAGATACGAAACGGACGATGGCGACAATGAAAATAAATTGAATCCCATGCTCATATTTTAGTATTGTCTTTATCGATACCAACATCGATTTTATTTAAATAATTGTTCACATGACTTATCTTATATGTACTGTTATCCATGTTTTATTACTTATGTTCTTATATCCTGTCGATACTTATATGTTGGCATTGCACAAGGTCATGTTTTTCACATCCTGCTTTTGACGATTGTTTTACAAAATCCGTTGGTGGTGTACTGATTGATAATTTGGTGTAGTGGTACATTGCTTATAATTAGTTGGTATTGGATCTTTAACTAACTTTCGGTAAGGTCAAGAACTCTTATCGGTACTTAGTGTCTTTTGTCTTTTTTTTGATTGTTTTTGTGCTTAAAATCGATCTAATAAGTCAAGCCTTTTCCAACTGATTTATTCAGATAGTACTCATTTTATGTCTTTGCTTAAGCGTAAGCTTGAACCCGAATAGCATGTTTACCATCGCCATAGTGTGTATGTGTCTGTTTCAAGCTAGAATTCTGTAATCTAGTGGACATGTTGGAGTTTGTCATGTTTTTTTTTCTGTGGTTGCTTTCTGATATAGTTATTTTTCTTTCTTTCATTGCTGCAGTATATATCAGATTGTTGCTTTTCTTTATAATTGTCCTCACATTTAGTCATACCAGAAACTTGATAAATAACTATACGGTATTGAATTTGCTCATGTTAAAAACCGGTTATACGATGGCCTATAATTGTACACATATTTGCCTTTTGGTCTTTGAGAATTGCTGTCTTTTTCAGCCATAGTGTTGTATGTGATATTTCGTTTGTTTATTGGTATGTCCATGGTTTTGTAAAATGATATTTACTTTTGATTACTGCGTCTCAAGAAATCATTGAGTCACACATGTATAGTCTCCAACGTTTTACTGAGGGTTTATTGCTATTTCTTGTCATCTTTTTACCCTTATTAGCATGTAAACCAGATACATTGAGATATGGGGTCTGAATAATTCACAACATAATAGTTACATCACATTAC